ATATCAAAAGTTAAATAAATCTCGGTGCAAAATATATAAGCTATTCCGAATTCTTGCACAATCGCACATATCGACGTTTTGCAGGAAATCAAGATGCATTCACGAGGTGAGAACGGAACGCGAATTTAAATTATGCGCATACGAATCGTGGATAGTGAAAAATGTTTTGTTACGATACAATCAGATAGTATCGAGGAAATTTTATTTCATATGAATTTAAAATAGGGACATTCTTAAAAAAAATTGTAAAATTCTACAACGTGTACTGGCTGGCACATCCTAAAACTAAAAAACAAAATTACATTACCAAAATTTCTAATAGAGATCTTCAACCAATAGATCTTTGACATCCATCTAAATATTTTGATGTTTACTTTTTTTTAACGAAAAAACACGTGTTTGGATAATCATCAATGTTTGAATGCTTTTATAAATATTTAACTTTATAGTTCTTTAAACTGTTCCGTATAAAAACGTTATATATGTAAAGAACGCGCAGTTGCAGTTATGCAATAGTAATTTCCTCAGGTTTATCTCGAGGCATGGCTTCCAAGGAACAGTCATTACAACGGTGCTTACCAACAGGTTCCACTAGTCAAGTAGGATTCACTTCCCACTCAATACAAACACTAATGCCTATAATTTCAAATGCGAATAGAGCAATAGCCCTAAGTCTCAAGTTGTCCTTTAGAGCTTTTAGAAATACACGTCAAAGAAATGCTTTACTATCGAACAAGCTTTAAAAACTTTGGATTAAAATATCTAGCAGATTATAAATACCTTTACTATCAATCAAACTAATTAGTTAAAGTTACCGTAGGTTTCTGAATCATCCTTGTTATTATCTTTGACAGTACAGATATAACAACATGTTTCAAACGGATTTTTGGTGTCAGAAACGCACTCTTAGTAGATTTTTTATTGCATCGCACGTAAAGCGTGATCAGAATTATCTGTCGAAACTATTAAAAACACCTCACTTTTTGCAAAACTCGTCTCGATTCTCAAAAAAACTGGTAATTGATTGTTAACTTCGTCGAATATGTGGATCATAAACTGCAAATCCTGTTCTTTATCTTTATGATCTTATGTTTTAATTAATAATTTATTTTAAGAGCAAATAACATCGTTTAAAATCAACTAATTGATGTAGACACCATGTAGTTTTTAATCTTTAAAATAGAAATTATTTTAGAAAAATAATACTGAATTCAGTAAACTGCTACAACTACTCAACTTCCGTATCCAATTATACATTCTTTTTAGTTATTGTGAAAACATTGGCATTCATCGATTAATAAAAATTATACGTTTGTGTGTCGTAGTTTGTTTAGACACAAATATTTTTCAGATAGGTACGCGGGCAACAGCTAGTCTTACTAATATTGTAAATGCGAATAATTAGATGAATGGATGGTTGGATTTTTGTTTTTATGATATCTCCAGAAAGGCTGAACTGATCACGATCATATATATAGAACATAGTCTAGGAGAATACAAGGCTACTAATTATTATATGTTTTTTTAATTCCACGAAACGGAGTCGCGGGCAACAGCTAGTATGACTATAATTAAAAGCTCCACTGTTAACTGTATATGGATGAGATGGTATGCACATAGTTGACATTTAAATGTTCTCATCACGCGCTCATATGATAGTAAAAACTAACCACAGACGGTTTCTTTATTAATATCTACTTCAAAGAATAATGAGTTGTCTAATTGAATGCAGACATTTTAGATGGAGATGTATCGTTATTTTATTTGTTTTATAGCTAGCTGTCGCCTGCGACTCCGTCCGTGCGGTATTAAAAAACTTAATTAGTAGCTTATGTGTTCTTCTCGACTATGTTCTACATCTATGTCAAATTTTGATGAGATCCATACAGCCGTTCTTGAAATAAGCATCCATCCATCCAAACATTCACATTTATAATATTAGGAATATATTATATATATTGTATTATACTTTAAACATTAATACTGTTGGGACTACATTGTTTTTAATATTTAAATATTGTTCGTAAAAACATTGTTTATATATTCCACGTAAACAAATTGTTAAATATTATTTTGATTTACAGTAACATACTGTTAGGAAGAAAACTACCTACACTGTGCCAGTGTACTGGCACAACATTAGCCTAACTAAAATGTCAACGTTTATGTCCCCTCACTAATCATTTTGTTACTTGACTTTGTAACGAATGCGCGCCATTCGCTCCAAAGGATTCTAATTAATAATATCTAAAAATGCATATAAAATCTGTAATTGTTTTTTTAATATGATAAGGCAAAGAACATTGGTACGAATAATAAAAAACACACATAATCTGACGCCTACATCCACAACACCAGAGGAACCCAATTTTTTTATCCAATTTCAGACAAGTACAATATGTATGATTACAACCATTTTATACATTCCATAATTTGTCTTATCTTACTTTGAGTAGCGAAATACATCAATCATGAAACTGCCACTTTTTATAACCATTTTATGGTGACATTCACAGAAATATTATTCAATGAGTTTCTTATTTGTAACCCCGAGCATTGTTGTTATCCATAAAATGATTCATTAACAAATCATATAAAAAGAAAGACCTGTCAAGGCTAAACAATATCTGAACAAAATACGAAACTTATACTTACATTTTTGGAATATTAGAATGCATCAGTAATGCCAAATGCTTATAAAAGTACGTCGCCCGCAATTCCGTCCGCGCGGAATTAAAAAAACATAAATAGCCTATGTGTTCTTTCAGACTATGTTCAATATGTATGCCAAATTTCATCGAGATTCATTCACCCGTTCTGGAGATATCTTTAAACAAATATCCATCCATCAATCCATCTAAACATTCCCATTTATAATATAAGTAAGAAGTAAGATATACAACCGCTTAAATTACGTCGTATAACCAAGTATCAAGAAGTTTTAGTTATATAAAATAGTGCAAACGTGTTTATGCAGTTCTATATTCTCTATCATATGAGTATGGTACAATATAATCGTGGTTTTATAGCACAAAATATTGCTTGCTATAGAATTGAGGTTAGATTTGTCTTACAATTTAATAAACTAAGAAACATGATATGAAATCGTTATAATAAAATATCAGTATTTTT